CCCCCAGAATGTCTTGGCTTTCCATGCCTGTAATACTCTCATGGGCATTTCAGCCGGATCTGAATGCCTTAAGGGCTGTTAAGGGCTGATTCTGAGTCCAGAGTGCTGTTTAGGACATCTGCCATTCTATGAGTCTGCTGTGTATCCCGCTTCCCATGTTGGATCATTCTCTCCCTTTTTTATTCTTTCAGTTAGTATTTGCAGGCACTAGTCTTGTTTATGTGATCCCTTTGGCTCTTCGTCCTATTATTATGATCATTTGTGGACAGAAATTGATCACTTGGACTAGTGAGATGGCATTGGTACATGCCACCTTGATGGGATTGAATTGGAATCCCCTGGTATGTTTCTAACTCTACTGTTTGGGGCAAGTCAGCTTGAGCATGTCCCAAATTGTACATCTCTTCCGTCTCTTATTCCCACTCTTATATTTAACAGGGATCACTTTTCAGTTAAGTTTCAACACTTAAGAATAACTGTGTATTAATTACAGAATTCAACCAATAGAAATAAAATGTTTTTTAAAAATCCCCTGAAGCAACTAATTTCTGGTATATTACACCATAGATTAGTATGCCTAGTTTTGAACTGCATATGATTGGAATCAGTAGAATATTCTTTCATGCCTTGCTTATTTTACTCAATTTAGTGCTTTGTGATTTTCATGTTACTGTGTGTATCAGTAGCTTGTTCCTTTTAATTGTTGTTTTCTATTGTGGGACTATACTATAAATTATGTATTGATTCTCCAGTTGTCAGAAATCTGTTGGCTAATATAAATGTGAATACTAAAAACAATTTTATACAAGTGTTCTTTCTTGGGTAAATATTTAGGAGTAGAATTTTTCTAGTAAGTACACATTTCTGTTACTTTTTTTTTTTTTTTTTTTTTTTTGACAGGCAGAGTGGACAGTGAGAGAGAGACAGAGAGAAAGGTCTTCCTTTTGCCGTTGGTTCACCCTCCAATGGCCGCCGTGGCTAGTGCGCAGCAGCCGGTACACCGTGCTGATCCAGTGGCAGGAGCCAGGTACTTATCCTGGTCTCCCATGGGGTGCAGGGCCCAAGTACTTGGGCCATCCTCCACTGCATTCCCTGGTCACAGCAGAGAGCTGGCCTAGAAGAGGGGCAACCGGGACAGAATCCGGCGCCCCGACCGGGACTAGAACCCGATGTGTCAGTGCCGCAAGGCGGAGGATTAGCCTAGTGAGCCACAGCGCGGGCCCATTTCTGTTACTTTTAAGTTATTCTAAGTCATTGTATAATTTTTGATTTACAAGCAATGTGTAAGGGTTTCAGTTGTTTCATGTTCTTGCTAACATTTGAAACTGTGAATTGTTTTTGTTTTAATAATTCTAATAGATGAGAAATAATGTGCTTAGGGTCACTTACAGAGAATTGTTGGAAAGGGATTGAGTTTTTATTAGGCGTATATTCAATTATTTTTTTTCAGAATATGCTTATAGGCGTGCAATTACAGAGGCTGTTGGTCTTCCAAGTATTCCTGTTCATCCTATTGGATATTATGATGCCCAGAAACTCCTAGAGTAAGTTTATAAGAAACATATAGATGACTGTTACAGTAATTTTCATTATTGTTAGTTTCCAAATGTTAGGCTTTTATGTTCATTACTTGGTACTGATGCTCTCTAAGACAGCTGAAATTTGCAATTGTGTTGCTATTTAAGAGTAGTATTTATATTCTGGAATTTACTTTATATAGGGGTACACAGTGTGCCAGAGATGTGAAAATGAGTCTTGCAGATCTCCAACTGCAGGGAGCATAATTGTTCAGTTGCTCCAGTCACTATGCTTCCAGAGTCATCACCTTGTTTGTGTCGAGGCATATACATCCCATAAATGCTCCCATGGTGACTGACCTGTTTCTAGGAGGCACAGGAGCCTATTGATGTCAGACTTCGGCTCTAAGACTCTCCGATAGCTGTGATCTGATAGATAAACCTGCTCCAACAGATCTCGCACCCAGGGCTTCCTCTTTGTTGTTGTCTTCCTTCCCTTTCTCCTTTACCTTAAATCAGAACGACATTGCTATCTGATGGCCTTCTAAGTCGTCTTTAGCTCCCTCCTTATTTCTTTTTACAGGATTCTCCCCTAATAAGTTTCTTACTCATTCATTTTTCTCATGGTTTACTTCTTGGAGGACCCACAAAAACACACACTGAGAACATCTTCTATTTTGTTCTCATGTCTATTCCTTTTCATTATTAAAATTTCTCCAAATGGCATCAGAACATTTTCCCCCTTCCCACTTGCTTTCTTGCATCTGCTTGTCCCTTCTTCCTCACTATTCTTTATGGAGGGACAGGTCATTGGCTACTCTGGAAGTGAAGTAACAGAGACAAAGGTGTCTGGACACTTAGTGCCTATTCTTCTGTGCAATGAAGGTCTTCTTAATTATTTTATTCTAGTATTTATGAGAAGGCATTTCATGACTTAGTTCAAGGCCCCTGGTTTTATAGGTGAAGAGTCTGACATCCAGAGAATTAGAGGGATCTTTCCATGTAAGGGCAGATTAAGGAAGCCTCCTGGTCTTTTTTTAATTTGAGTTCTTACCTTTCCACACTGGTTAACATTCAGGATCAGGTACAACTTTTGAAAGCACCATGGATAAGCATTTGCCTAAAGATATTTACAAATAAATAAAGTCTAAGTACCTGTGATATTTAAGAGGTGAAAGAGATTGTAGCATTACTTACAATAGTGGAAAACTATGAACAGTACAAATCTTCAATAATAGATAAGTAGTTCAATACATTACTGGCTATGATAGTATTTGAAGTCATTAAAGTGCATATTGTATAAGAATATTTTATGATATGGAAACATGTTTGTGATATAGTATTAAATGAGGAAGAATCACATTTCAAAATAGTATTTATAGTGTAGTCCCAGTTATATAAAAGTTTAAAACATGAACTGGTTTTATCTTTAGAATTAGAGGAAAAATACATGAAGTCAAATGGGATTGAAAGTGAGGTTTATTTTAATTATGTCTACCACTTGCTCTGGTATTATCCAGATCAATATCAGCCATGACCTAAATGTGTAGTAGAAATTCATAACTAAAAAATTATAAAATACAGTTTATTTTGTTATTTTAAGTAAGCATCTATAAGCCATTTGTAAATGCAATCACTATTAATATCACAATTTCTATGAAAATATCATAATTTGTATTCAAAATTCTGTAGTTACAATAGTCACTTCCTTTGTCACTATGCACCCATTCTAAGGCATAGTGCAGCATTCCACATAATTGGAATTTAGCCTTTAAAGCAATCTTTAAAGAACATACCCTTTAGTTAGAAATTACACTGAGAAGAATTACCCCCTCTGCACACTTATCTTTGGAGTGTGCTAGTTGTACCTAATAATCAGCTCAGTGGATTGCCATCAGTGATTAGCAATTTTATACTATGTACTAATTAGAAAAGACAATATTTTACAAATGAAATGTATCAGAAAGTAAAAGTTTCTTAATAAATATGTAAGGAGAAAAGGAGAGATATGAAATACTGTAGTGGCCCAAGAACATTGACAACTTCAACAAAAAGTTACTAAAATAAAATTGTGCGCTGACTTGAGTAGAAAAAAACGAAACATCATATATGTTCTTTTCTGTTTTTCACATTTATACTGGTGACAAGGGAAAGTGATTATTTGATTTTTATTTTTCTCCTAGAGTAACTCCTAGGACAATAATTATGGTAATTATAATCATAGGAATAGTTCCCACCACACATGGGCTACTCATGATGTTTTAGCACTAACTATTGTGTTAAATGCTTTACATACATTTTTGCAATCAATTCATTTTGTGATATTCATTTTACAAATTAGGAAACAAAAATTCATAGAGTAAGTAAGTGGTAGAGCTGAAACCTAAACTCATATATGAGGTAAAAGATAGCTTTGTTAAACATTACTTATTTTCAGCTCAAAAGCACAAGCATTTGTAAAGTATCTCTTATGCCCATATTCTGAAGATCTTTAAGGGCTTCCCTCAGCCCATTTATTCATTCAAGGAATATTTATGAAATATATATGTCAGTACTTTTGTATGTCAGCACTGTGGTAGAAGTGTGAGTTGCATATAGACTGTTTGCGTCAATAATTCTTCTCAGTAATTTGAATCTCAGCTGTACAACTTAATCAGCTGCATAATTTTGAGGCTGTTACTTAATCACTGTTAGTCTCCTGCTGCTCATATGTGAAGTAGAGTAATGTTGCATAAGAGCTAGTGAGGATTAATGAGGACTGAATGGCATATGATATGGAAAGCACTTTGTACTATTCTTCAGTCATTTTAGTTCTTGTGAATTGATGCCCAATAAAGTGAGTTAATTGACATTTTACCTTGCTATGTTACTGTTTTACTTCAACTAATGGTATTTTTTATATGCAACAGAAAAATGGGAGGCCTAGCACCACCAGAGAGCAGCTGGATTGGAGGTCTCAAAGTGCCCTACAATATTGGACCTGGCTTTGCTGGAAATTTTTCTACACAGTTAAGAAGCTTTTTTAATTTTAACCCTGTTTTAGGAGAAATGTTTTAAAAAATGATTACAGAGAATGATAGAAAAAATTAAAATGTATCTAGTACCAGTAGAACACAAATCCCACATTGAATAGGGGAATACTCATATATTGTTAAAATTGGGCAAGGTGATATTTGCCTTTGTATAATCAGAATTCTTAAACACTAATGGAAGTTTTGAAAATCGTAGCGTAAAATCATTAACAATGATTTGTTTAGAACGTGTCCTTTTTCTTTGCATCAGAAAAATCAAGATGCACATCCATTCTGACAGTAAAGTGACAAGAATTTACAACGTGATTGGTACTATCAGAGGAGCAGTGGAACCAGGTAAAGATATCCTTTGTTCAGCAGATACCAACTATGCAATCCCTATGTGCCACGTCCTGCTCTGAGTTCTGGGAGTGTAGGGCAGCAAAGGAAAGCAACTCTTTGCCCTAATGAGACTCACCTGACTACAAAGTAACTATGAGGGAATTTTATTTTGTGATGCTTGTAAGAAATGGAATATTTGGGATAGATAGGGCAGATGACTAAGGTGAGTTGTAAACTTCACATTTCCATTAAAGAAAAGGAGGAAGGGCAAGCAAGGAGAGAGAGTTTGAGGTGGTTTCTCAAGTTGTCTGGATTTAGTTACTATATATTTTGCATGAGGAGATATCCTCATAGTTGTTATAAATATCTATAAAAAAGGTAGCACTTAGGGTAATCTTGAATTAATTCATCTTTTACATGGTTTTATTTTCCACCACTAAAGTCACTGATGAATTTTTTTATTTTATTTATTTTTATTTTTATTTTTTTTTTGACAGGCAGAGTGGATAGTGAGAGAGACAGACAGAGAGAAAGGTCTTCCTTTTACCGTTGGTTCACCCTCCAATGGCCGCCGCGGCCAGTGTGCTGCAGCCGGTGCAATGCGCTGATCCGATGGCAGGAGCCAGGTGCTTCTCCTGGTCTCCCATGGGGTGCAGGGCCCAAGTACTTGGGCCATCCTCCACTGCACTCCCTGGCCACAGCAGAGAGCTGGCCTGGAAGAGGGGAAACCGGGACAGAATCTGGCGCCCCGACCGGGACTAGAACCTGGTGTGCCGGCGCCGCAAGGCGGATTAGCCTAGTGAGCCGTGGCGCTGGCCCCATTGATGAAATTTATAGGCATGTAATTACCAAACAATTTCAGATAACCTGGTATTTAATCCATTTTATTATATAGTCTTAGTTCATTATGTTTCAGTTATTTCAGAACTATTAGGTTATGTATTTCTTGTCAAAATAGGTTCCATTAAATTGTGTATACTTCTTACAAGAGCCTAGTTGTTTCACTTAGGGATCTAGAACATTGACATCCTTATAGTGAGCACCAAGCAAAATATAACCAGCTCTTTATTACTTACTCTTTCTGAATACCTATTTCATGCCAGTTCTGTGCTAAGCATGGGGCCATTTAGAAAACACAGGTCAGAGACAATGATCTCACAGCTTTGGAGGAGAGCTATACATTTAGGTGTGACAAACACGTTATTAGATTTAAAAAGATTGAAAGCAGAGATATATTCCTTCTTCCTACAGGAAATATAAACAGTTCACTAAGGGAGGAAGTCTTTGTGCTGTATCCTCAAAACAGAGTAAGAGTAGGAAGTGGAGAACCTACTCTGTATCTCCTATGTTGTACTTTGAAAATATTACAAACAGTGGTAACATAAAAGAAGGGTAATAAAGAATTATATAAACATATAGATAAGTTAATTTTATACTTTCCTATAATTTTTATACACTTACAATTATAGTAATAGATTGAAGTATATATTCGCCTTATAACATTTGTTCCTTCTTTAGTTTGAGGAAATACATATGAAAATCAAGAATAATACATCCATACAAGTCTTCAGTAACTTTGCTCTGTTTCTTTGAATGCTCTGTGTCTAGATGTTAATGAGTCATGTGCAATTTACTCTATTATTTACCTCAAGTGACAAATAATCTTGTAATGATGCTTTCTAGACAGATACGTCATTCTTGGAGGTCACCGAGACTCATGGGTGTTTGGAGGCATTGACCCTCAGAGTGGAGCTGCTGTTGTTCATGAAATTGTGAGGAGCTTTGCCACATTGAAGAATGAAGGTAAAATAAACAAAGAATAAAAAGACCGATCTCAATTATGCTTCTGTAAAGTGTAGAAATATCAGTTGCTTACTTTTTATGGTTGTATTTATTTATATGATAACTTTTGAGATTGATATATTACATGAGAATATCTGAAATGAAATAATTTCACTGCTATTTGTTGCTCTTGGAAACTAAGCAGACAAAATTAGTTTCTCACTGGAGAGGACACACTAGAATCTGGCCCTACACCTAAGCTTTCTGGTCAGAGAGCTGTAAGCAGGAGTACCTTGGGCTCTTCTGACTTCACACCTCAGATCAGGTTTACCAGGTAGTAGATGAGAGAAGATCTATTCAGAAAAATCACTAGTCTGAGGCCAGCATAAGAGTACAGTGGGTAAAGCCTCCACTTGCAATACCAGCATCCTGTATGGGAGCCTGCTTGTGTACTTGTGGCTCCAGTTCCAATCCAGCTCCCTTATAATGGTCTGAGAAAAGCAGAAGGATATGACCGAAGTGCTTGGGTCCCTACCACCCATGTGGGAGACCCTGAGGAAGCTCTGGATCCTGGCTTCAGCCTGCTTCAGTCCTGGCCTTTACAGCTATCTGGGGAGTGCACCAGTAGATGGAAGATTCTCTCTCTCTCTCTCTCACTCACTCACTGTGTAACTCTGCCTTTGAAATAAATAAGTAAATCTTAAAAAAAAAAGAAGAAGAGGAGAAGGGAAAACACTGGTTTTGCTACTGAACAGAATTTTGTCCTTAGTCTGGCATCTGCATTCTCATTAGCAGCCATTTTTTAGTCTTCCAGAAATCAGGTCATTTCAGATCACTTAATGGACTTCATATGAAAACATGGAATAGTTACTAAAATAGTGACAGTTTACAAGTTTTCAGAGCACTTTCTTAAGTACTTTATAAACATTTCCTTTAATTCCCTCAGTAGCCAAGTGGTATCTTCATTTTTACTGTTATTCTTAATATACAAATAAAGAGAAGGAAGCTAAGAATGTTTCCTTGGTCACTCTGCCAGTGAGAGAACCAAGGTTTGAAACAAGATCTTTCTCTGGTTCCAAGGCCAATGTTCGTACCTTCCTGGTGACTATGACCTTTAAGCCATCTGACTTTCCTAGTGAATCCCGTGGTTTTCAGCAGCAGCAAGCATTGCAGTTACCAGTTGAGCCCTTGTTGACTAGTTCTGGCTGAGAATGGAGTGAAATCATACAACCAGCTCGCATCAAATAATTGTTCATGTGATGTCAGAAAAACAAGGAGGAATTCTAATGGGATTTTTCTCAGTTGTATTTGCTCTCAGAATCCGGTGAGAATTTCTCTCAGTTATATCTGACAACATCCAGTAATTTCTTCTTTCACTGTGGCAGCTGCAGCCCACCAATGGCTTCTGTGCATAGCCAAACATCATAATCCTATTTAGAATATTTTACCCCTGGCAGGGTTTTGACTATGTCTGTGTTTCCCCATGCTTCTTGATACCTTGACAAATCAGCTTTAAGATCCTGGAAAAAAAAAAAAAAAAGTAAGCAAAGTTTCTCAGCACAATTTAGCCTTCTCAAACCATCAGTGAAGCTTTCTTCATTTGGGCTTGGTAATGTCTCAGGTGTGTTATACTTTTTTCCCAGCACTTATATGTATGTACACATATGTTTTAGGATGGAGACCACGACGAACAATTTTGTTTGCAAGTTGGGATGCGGAAGAATTTGGTCTTCTTGGTTCTACTGAGTGGGCAGAGGTTAGTTGATAACTTGATACGATCCAGATTTTCCTAATGAGAAAGCAGTTAGGACTTTATCCTCAAGCATTTAAAAATAATAAGTGAATTTAATGAGAAAATGTACACAGTTTTCCCAAAAAAACTTGAAGCAACATACTTTTGTTCAACAATCAACACTGAAATATTTTAATGCCTAAAGAAATGTTTGTTTGAAATTTTGTTTCCTAGGAGTGTGAGAGTATCAAAATATATTTGATTTCTGCCATGATTCTTTTCTGCTCTCCAAAATAGATCCTAACGCTAACTGCACTTAAATATCCCTTGAGCCTGTAAAGTAAGGTGTATTTTTCACCTTTGTCTTCCTTATGTGATAGTGACCTATGGTATATTAAACCACGGTTATAGTAAGGCAGAAAATCATACCACAGAATATCTACTAGGTCCACTGAATATAATTTAATCCACATACACTTTTGACTGCATGTAATATAAGCATTAGCTATAAAATAAATATATGCAAGGTTAATGTTTATTCTATTAAATTCCAGTCTTACTGAAAATATTTACTTACCTACTATTGTATTCCAGATACTATGTGAAGCTACTGTAAATGTCAATTTATGCTTTTTGAAGATAGTGCTCCTCTATACCTGGCTGATGTTGGAAAGAATCTAAAAATTTTCAGGGCTTTATTTGTATTTTTAAGATTTTATTATTTAGAGTTGCACTTATTTTTCTATTTCCTATATTATGTAGAATGCCCAGGAAATTGAATTATTTTAGGTACTCAAAGTCTACGTTGATACCCCAGCAAAGCTTTGCTCTACTTGGCAGTTGTAAACGTATGTAATATCAATCTTCACCACTAGGTGATGCCATCCTAAAGGAGAACTTGACTTTACATTCAGGGTACAAACGCATGATTTAACGTTACACATTTTTTAGCCATAAATTTGAAATAGCTAATTTCTTTTAAATTAGGCAAGTTATCTGTTTTAATAATGAAATGTTTGTGGAAATATTGCTACTAAAAATCTCTTAAGTCATTCATGTGTGCTAAAAGAATGTTTTGAAGGGTAAGGTATGGTTAAGAAATTAACTCCTTTTCCATGTACCATAAGTACATGCACAGTTTCACCTTAAATGTTAGTCTTTAAAATTTTTGCTTATTGTTTGTTTTTGAAATTATTTCAAACTAACTTCTCTTTTGAGTGTTCAAAATCTGTGGTTAACGTAGGCCAGCGTAATTCAGAAATCTATATACACTAAATGTAGATGTGCAATTTTGGAAGAGGAGGTAGGTTATGAGTTTATAGTTTTCTCTCTTCTTTATTATAGGAAAATTCCAAACTCCTTCAAGAACGTGGTGTGGCCTATATTAATGCTGATTCTTCAATAGAAGGTAAATATCATTGGTCTCATAAAAACATCATGAATGTACAGACAGCAGCAACTGAGTTCATAAATTATACATTACCAGAGAGGGAAATCCACTCCCATGCGTTAGGGAATCTGCTGCTGCTTTTTTGGTGCTGCTGCTCCTGACTCACAGCCATGGGTGAACTTCCCTTGAAAGATTTTTTTGCTTGTTTGTTTTGCATTGTAGAGTGCTGGCTCAGAAAAGCAAAATTCTTAGATTTGCTTCTTTGGCAGTTTCACTTCTATATGACAGGAATTTCGCAAATGTGTTGAATGAATAAGTCATTATTTAGAATGAGGTATAAAATTGTCTTTAAATTTAACTCCTAGTTTCATTGTACTATCATGTACAAAAATTTTGAAAAAAAAAAAATCTTCATCTTTCACAACATTTTTTTTCTTCAGTTCAACAAATATCTACTGGTCACTTTTCTGTGCAATATGCTTTTTCAGGGACTCAGAGGGGTCAGAGGTTAATAAGAAATTGTCTTATATTTGGGAGCTCAGGGCTCAACATAGATAATAAAATAAGCCCATCTTGGAATATAATATATGCTGATGCTATAAGGGGGATATAATTAAACTGCTTTGGGAGTTCACAGGAAAACCAATAATAATTTCAAGAAAGCTTTAAGAAACAGGATAGGCATTTGAGATAGTCCTAAAAGAGTGGACCAGTCTAAATACACAAAGGATCAAAATAAAGGACATGTAAGGTTGATTTGAACAAAAATAAGCAGTCCATTGTCGCTGGTTCCCAGCCTCACTAATCAATTTCTTGAGACACCCAGCCTCCTACTTGCTCTTCTGCCTACCCAGAGGCTCCTGGGTCCTCACCCTAGCTGTGGAATTCTTGCCCTTGCAGTCTTCCCTGAAGTGTGACTTTATCAGGGAAGCCCTGACTTTGTAGCATGTTCTCATTATCAAATAAGTATAAGATTTACAAACTGCCTTTCTCAATAGGCTGTATTCTTCAGCAAAAAGAAAGGAGCAAGTGGGTGAAAGGTGAGCTTTGAGAATGTTTTCTTCAGTGTGTAAGAGTTTTCCATGTCAGCAATTGTAAGGTGATACCTTGATGGAGTCCCTTTAGCATTTGCGTTTTCTTCATTCTCCACCTGTGTGAGCTACATTGTTGTGAAATTTGGTTTGCACAGTGCATTTCAGTTATCTTTTCTAACTGCTTTAAGGTTAGTGCCTAAGGACCTGGGCTTTCAGGTCAGACTGCCTGGATTTATCCCTGGCTCTGCCACTTCCTGCTGGTGCTGTGACCTCATGTTACTACTTTTTGTGTCTCAGATTTTTCACCTCTAAGTAGAATTATTAAGAGCACCTGTCTCCAAGTTTCTTCTTAGGACAAAAGAAGTTAACATTTGAAAACTTCCCAGACCAGCACTTTGCACAGAGTAAATGTTCAAAAATGTGAACTTTGATCACTGTTATTACTTCTTAAAACACATAATCAGATAAAACATGTTTATCACATAGAATGAATACTCCAAACATATATTCTCTAAATGTGGAGTGATTTTTCGTGTATTTTTAAAAACCTCTAGGTTTTACTGATTGTTTTTTCCTGTTTTGAAATGCATCTGATTGAGACACCACTGACCTCATTATGTTTTTTTATACTATTTTAATCAAATGTTTGCTTCTCATATCATGAAATTAATCATGTGTTGGAATTTTTGTTAAAATAAACATTCACAGGGCTTCTCAAACAAATTGCTCTCAAAATCAATCCTCTCTCCAAAACTACTGCTGTCTTCAATTTGGTGTGGTACCATTATATTGACATTCCTATATACAATTCTGTTCACACAAAATGCCAATAGTGTGACAGCTGTTGTCCTAAGTGCCTTACAGTATAAACATTTGTTTAGTACTCATCACAGCCCTGTGATATATGTACTTTTATTATCTCTGCTCTATGGAAGAGGAAACAGGCTCAGAGAGGTTGGGACTTTCCTTGAGGTCACACAGCTAGAGAAGGGTTGAGTTTAGACTCAGATCAAGTAGATCTATTTAAACTTGTTCCTTCTAACTCTACACTAGTGCCTCTCACTACCTTATACAGGCTTTGGGTGTAACATTACAGCTAAATGATTCTACAACTTGCCCTTGCCATTCAGCAACATATTATGGACAACTTTTTATGTCAATATATTAAAATGCACGTTATGTCAATGTACTTTAAAAACAAAACAAGAGGGGCTGGCGTTGTGGCATAGTTGGTAAAGCCACCATATGCAATGTTGGCACACCATATGGGCACCAGTTTGTGTCCTGGCTGCTCCACTTCTGATCTCGTTCCCTGCTAATGGCCTGGGAAAAGCAGTAGAAGATGATTTTAAGGGTTTGAGCCCATGCTACTCACATGGGAGACCCTGATGAAGCTCCTGACTACTGATTTTCACCTGGCTGAACCCTGGCAGCCATCTAGGGAGTGAATCAGTGGACAGATTATCTCTTTCTCTGTCTCTCGCTCTCTCTGTAACTTTCAAATAAATAAATATTAAAAAGATATGTGCACTTAAATTGCAATACATGCCACCAAAACTAATGTTTTTAAAATTACATTGGCTTTTGAGGTGCATGGTTTGGCTTAGTGATTAAGATACTACTTGAGATACATCATATATTGAAATTCTTGGGTTTGAGTCCTGGCTCTGCTCCAATTCCAATTTCACACTCATGTGTACCTCAGGAGACATCAGGTGATGGCTCAAGTAGTTGGCTCCTGCTATGCACACAGAAGACCTGGATTGAATTCTGGTTCCTAGCTTCAGCCTGGCCCACATCCAGCCATTGCAGGCATTTGTGTAGCAAGCCAGTAGACTCGCACTTCCTCTGTCTGTCTTTGCCTCTGCTTCTTAAATGAGTAAAAATAAATAAGAATATATATGTACCTATTTCTTCTTCTAGATGAAGTTTTAGAATTTTCAAATCAACTTCTTCAATAAAAAAATTATTCTGTGTGGCTAATTGTAAAGCCTCAAATTTTGCTATCCCCAACATGGGTCTTAAGCTTTGGGGTACAAGCTGCTTGCCATCCTCTGTATCACATGCTTTTATATTTCTGGACATTTGTTCAGGCTATGCATTAGTTGCCTTTAGTTACAAATGCCATTTCTTTTTGGTCCAGCTCTCTCTTGGTTCTAGAAAAGTGAGTTTGAGTCACCCTCTTTTCACTTAACATGTTCTGTGCTAGATCTTGCTTCTGAGTTAGCACCCCACTCTCCCCCACCCCCTGTGCTCCTGATACTTCCCAAGAGCACTTGTCCCTGGCTGCTTCACTTGACTCATACCTGCCAGTCCAACTCCGCAGGAATGTGGACTCCATCTCTGTGTCTGTTCAGAACGAGCTAGCAAACACCTGGCTCACAGATCCATTTTCACAACAAGTATTTGCCGTATGAATCTAAATGCTAAGGCTGTTCTAAGCACTGGGGATGTGGCAGCAAATAAGAGAGTATTTGCCTGTCTGGAAATCACAATCTAGTGGGAGGGTGGATTATAAAAAAAAGACAAGTACCAATATGCTTCAGTTTATTGCAGTGAATATTCTTTTATTTGCCTATTGTGGGTAAAAAATAAGCCAAACTCAAGAAAGGAACAGAGTGGCTAGCATATAAAGGGCTTGGAGAGAGCATGCTATTTTAGGTAGGGCAGTTAAGGAAAGTCTCTCAGAAAGCATAATGTTAGACCAAAGAAAGAGTAGGCCTTGCAAATATACTGCAGAATGCTGTTGCAGGCTGAGGGAACAGTGTAGTGTGTACAAAGACTGAGGGAGTGCCCTTAAACAAGTGGGAGATGAAGATTTGGAGAGATGATGACTATGGACCGTAATGAAGATGATAAATTCCATAGAGTGAGATGGGGAGCCACTGGAGAATTTAAATTTAATTTGGATTTTAAAAGATCATCTTGGGTAGGGAGTTTGCAGTGGTCATTGAATAAAAGAATAAGAGAAAGAAATGATATTAAAAAACAATCTATCCTTTATTTATCTTTCAGGAAACTACACTCTGAGAGTTGACTGTACACCACTACTTTACAGCTTGGTATACAATCTAACAAAAGAGGTAAAAATTATTACATGTAATTTAGAAAAATCGAAGTTCTAGGAAGGATGCTTTCTTGAGGTGCCATTATTATCTTAAACACTGATGTTATTTCACATGTTATCTTTGACCATATAACAAGTATCCACCCCATAGAACATCACATGTAACTAGCTGTTTAATTTTAACATTTACTACGCCATTTCTCCCCACATCACTGTGAGGCCGCCTTTGGGTAACAGTGCATCTGCCAAGACCTTCCTTTTGAAAAGGAGGAAAGTGAACTCCATGAGCATCCACCACCAAAGTCACACAGCTTGAGCAGTAATTAAACCAAAACTCGGTCTTATGGTTTGATTCCTTAGTTTTATAACTAGTTAATACTCCTTAAGATAATGATATCGATTAATTCAGGGCACAGGAAGAGTTAAAGGCTCTACGTGACTGAGTTAGAGTATTATAGAAACACCAGGTGCTGAATTCCACGGGCAGCTCACCTCGGCACCGAGACTAGCTGAGACTTTGTAGCTTCCTTCCTTTTTGCCTCAGGTTTCGATCCACTGGCCCCACTAGGCCCGAGTGGCAGCTCAGTTATCTTTTAAAATTTGTGAGAAATAAAAATTAGGCAGATTAATGGTGCCATGTGAGGTCTCACTATGTGCATACATTATGTAATGTCCAAATCAGGGAAAATATACCTGTCACCTCCAGTGTTTCTCATTGCTTTATGGTGAAAACGTTCAAAATCCTCTTTTCAAGCTAGCACTGTGGCATAGTGGGCTAAGCCTCCGCCTGTGGCGCCACCATCCTACATGGGTGCATGCCATTTCGAGTCCCAGCTGCTCCTCTTCCAATCCAGCTCTCTGCTATGGCCTAAGAAAGCAGTAGATGGCCCAAGTCCTTGGGCCTCTACACCCACGAGTGAGACCAGGAAGAAGCTCCTGGCTTCAGATCAACTCAGTCTGGCTGTTGTGGCTATTTGAGGAGCGAACCAGCAGATGGAAGAACTTTCTCTGTCTCTCCCTCTCTCTGTGTGTGGCTCTACCTCTCCAATCAATCAATCAATAAAATCTTTAAACAAACAGAAAACCAAAATCCTCTCTTCTTGTCTTGTGTGTATATGTATTTATTGTGTGTGGACATTCAGGTTTCGATATATGTGATTTGTAAGTGTTTTCTGTTTCCTTTTGATTTATGTAGCTGCAAAGTCCTGATGAAGGCTTTGAAGGCAAATCTCTTTATGAAAGCTGGAATGAAAAAAGTCCTTCACTGGAGTTCAGTGGCAGGCCCAGGTAAACAAACAAAACTTGAATTTTTATTGCAGTGCGGGATTGTTTTAAAAATACAAGTATATTTTATTTTAATCATTGATTCAAAATTAACTTTCAAAATGCTCTAACAACTGAAAAAGGAAATGTATTGCTTCATAAATGAAAAGTTATTTATGTTTTAAAGTTAACTCTGTAGCCATCCAAAATAATTCTTACTAGAATAAGTAATAAATACACCTGCTACATAAAAAAGTTACAGTGGAGCTAATGCTGGAAAACAATTCCCTCATGTTTTTGTCTTCTCATCACTCTAATTATTCCTTTTTCCAAACATCATGCAGTTTACAAATATTTTTACTTCTCTAAAAAAATGCAAGCACTACTTCAGTATTAGTTGTATCTTTACATGCATATTTTAGTGGTCTAAAATAGTAAATACCAACAATAAGAACAATTTAAAATATTAGGAAAAGAATCTACATCTGAATCATCTGAAAGTGATTTCTTTATCACTAACAATAAATATAGATACTAAATAGAATGAATCAATTTATAAAAACATTTTCCAACTTCGAGTCTTTTTTAAAATGTGACATAAAAGAAACATCTCCAGAAAGATATTTTATAACTAGAACTAATATTCCTCTCATTTTTTGCTAACTAAGTATATACATTTAAAATTATAGTAGTAAGAATAGAGTTTAGTTTAACTGGTTGTATATCTGTATTTGATGAAGAAATTATACTGCAATAACTCTGTTATTTTATCCCTAATAGCATTAGCAAGTTGGGATCTGGTAATGACTTTGAGGTCTTTTTCCAAAGACTTGGAATTGCTGCAGGCAGAGCACGTTATACTAAAAATTGGGTGAGTCTATCTCAATAATTTTTCAAGATTATTTATAAATATATCTAAACTAAGCAAATAGTTCTTACTTCGGATATGACTCCAACATTAGGGCAGTAGAGAATTTTGAAAGCAGAAGGGAGAAGACTCAATGGTTGATGGTGCTACTATTGCATGTGGTAGTTCCTGCATCTGATATGGAAAGACCTATATTAAAGTGTCATTTGCCACCAGGAGTCATGTCTACAAAATTGAACTTCCATTTATTCCCTTATACTTTGTTTTATTCAGAGGTACTACATGAATTTGGTCATTTAAATTAGAAATGAAGGAATTATTTTTGGCTTTTCTTTTTACAATTAAAATTAATCAGTAACAGGAACTACAAATATTTAGATTTTTCTTATTACTGCTTTAACCATTAAACAAATGAAAAATTGTTGAATAACAAAAGGCATAATACACAGTGGCCACATAGAAGTCATATTCCTTTCCTTTTGTTGTGGTTGGTAAGTATTTCAGCTTTCATTTCTTTTTTATTTTATTTTATTTTATTTTATTTTATTTATTTTATTTTTTTTGACAGGCAGAGTGGACAGTGAGAGAGAGAGACAGAGAGAAAGGACTTCCTTTGCCGTTGGTTCACCCCCCAATGGCCGCCGCGGCCAGCACATCACGCTGATCCAAAGCCAAGAGCCAGGTGCTTCTCCTGGTCTCCCATGTGGGTGCAGGGCCCAAGCACCTGGGCCATCCTCCACTGCACTCCCTGGCCACAGCAGAGAGCTGGCCTGGAAGAGGGGCAACCGGGACAGAATCCGGCGCCCCGACCGGGACTAGAACCCGGTGTGCCAGTGCTGCAAGGCGGAGGATTAGCCTAGTGAGCCGCGGTGCCAGCCTTTAGCTTTCGTTTCAATCAAACTAGCATATAGTTTATAAAATATGACTTAGCTTGGTTAAAGCATAGGCCAGCGCTGTGGCTCACTAGGCTAATCCTCTGCCTGCGGCACCAGCACACCAGGTTCTAATCCCGGTTGGGGCGCCGGATTCTGTCCCGTTGTTCCTCTTCCAGTCCAGCTATCTGCTGTGGCCCAGGAGTGCAGTGGAGGATGGCCCAGGTCCTTGGGCCCTGCACCTGCATGGGAGACCAGGAGGAAGCACCTGGCTCCTGGCTTTGGATTGGCGTGATGCGCCGGCCGCAGCAGCCATTGGAGGGTGAATCAACAGTAAAAGGAAGACCTTTCTCTCTCTCTCTCTCTCTCACTGTCCACTCTGCCTGTCGATGAAAAAAGAAAAACACAACACAAAAGCTGTCATAAAAGCATCGTCTTCTCCCTTCCATCCCCATCCCAAACATGATTTCTGTTCATCAGATGAAAAGCTCTTCAAGTTTTCATTTTTCGGTTTTATGTAGTTAAAGGAAATATGTTCTTACACTTGTGAAGGTGTTAACGAAGACTTTATTCAAGACTTTCACCATGAGGATATTGCAGGAGGGGTAAGAGACTGAGCTCAGTTCCAAATGCAGCTAGGACAGCTGTAGATTTACAGCCAGTACTAAATCTCCAGAGGCCCTTGCCCTTGAGCTTGTTATTCTTCCATAGAGAAAATCTTTAATCTCTTGACATTGGAATAAGGATTTAGGCAGGGCTATCTAGGAAATAATGATGAGGGTAGATATCAATACTATCCATATTTTCCATATGAGAATACTATCTCAAAGAAAGAACAAGTGACTGCCCACATTTTTTTTTTTTTTTTTGGTACAAATTCCTGAAGCTGAGATTTAAACCCTGGCAGGATAATTCCAGAATCTCTTCAGCACACCACCATACAAAGCGTTCTGTATCAACAACAAAAAATAAGGTCTTCGCTTTAAATAGCACTCTGACCTCAGAATCAGCCCTTAAATCATTCTGGTCTGGCTGAAAAGCCCATGAGAGAATCTCAGGTGTGTAACGCTAAGATACTGTGGCAAAAAATGTCCTACATGAAGGACCTTGGTGGGTGAGACCTCAGTGGAAAGTCGTCAAAGAAAGAGGTACTTTTCTCTGAAGGGAGGAGAGAACTTTTGCTTTGCTTCTGGCCTTGTCTAAATACTTAAGGGGTTGTGAATTCAAAAGACTTCCCTAGCCTAGGCAGCTCATATCAACAGCCTCGAGTTTTCACTGACATACATAGGAGTATTAATTGTTAAATTAACAACAAGAGTCACTGTGCACTAACTTCCCGTGCAGGACCTCTGTCAACAAAGAGTTGTTTTATAATTATGTCTAAGTGCTCGCAAAAGCTGTATCATTCTTGGGTGCTTCTTTACAGTTAATTAAGTTTCTAAAAAAAAAAAAAGATGGAATTAACTTCAATATTCAATGACTTTGAGAAACCCTTGTCTCAACTGTTGAGGAACAATTTTTTTTTTTGTTTTGTTCCATTTTTTTTCCCTGTGCAAATTGTCGAACTCTTTACTTAGTACAGAGTTGGTCTTCTGCATATAAAGTTATTAAAAAATGGATCTTAGTGGAAAATGGGACTGAGAATGGAAGAGGGAAGAGGAAGAGGAGTGTGGGAGAGTTGGTGGGAGGGCAGATATGGTGGGAAGAATCACTATATTCTTAAAGTTATACTTATGAAATGCATGAAGTCTGTGTTCCTTAACTAAAAGTTTTCTATGGGAGGAAAATAAATTTAAAAAAATCTCTAAAATTGATTTTAAAATGACACAAATCAGCAATTCACAGTAAATATAGTTAATGCTGTCCCAGGCATTTTGTTATAATAAATATATGTTATATTTACAAATGATATAAATAAATATACAAAAGATATATTTTGATATTCTTTTGTAGGACATCTACAAATTCAGCAGCTATCCACTGTATCACAGTGTCTATGAAACATACGAATTGGTGGAAAAATTTTATGACCCAACATTTAAATATCACCTCACTGTGGCCCAGGTTCGCGGAGGGCTAGTATTTGAACTAGCCAGTTCCTTGGTGCTCCCCTTTGACTGTCGAGATTATGCTACAGTTTTAAGAAATTATGCTGACAAAATCTACAATATTTCAATGCAACATCTACAGGAAATGAAAACATATGGGGTATCATTTGGTATGCTATACTTCCTCTTTCCAAAATGTCTTATTTTTGTGTTTCTGTTAATCTAAAATCAGTGGCCTACATCTGGTCATTTATTATTTTTTCCTATTCCATTTTATTGAATATTTTGTTTATGTCTATAAATATATTCCCATTGATTGAATGCTTATATTTTATAACACATGAAAGAGAAATACTTTGTAAATCCCAGAAGAGGATTACTTTCTATATTGTTCCCTTATCTTGAAGTATAGAACAACATTGTTGTCTACAGCCATACAACCCTGAACGTGCCTGATCTAGGAGGATCTCAGAAGCTAAGCAGCCTTGAGACTGGTTAGTACTTGGATGGGAGTGTTATGTTCTTAAAGCTTTTTATGATCCCAATTTCTATTTCAGATTCACTTTTTTCTGCAGTAGAGAATTTTACAGAAATTGCTTCTAAATTCAATGAGAGACTCCAAGACTTCGACAAAACCAAGTATGTTGTACATATATTTATGCCTACAGTAGGTACATAGTAGATATTCAAAAGAAGTACTAATTTATGTCTTTATTGTTGAAATATCTGTGGAATCTTTTTGCTGTTTTCTGTCTCTCCACTATAATGCAAACTACACAGGATTTCCATGTCTCTCTCAAAGCCTGGTTTCTGACATTTAGTGGGAACTGTTCTTCTCAGCAGTGTATGATTTGCCAACTGATTCCTGACAACCTACCCATCCACCTGAGCACAGAAGGTACTCTTACATGTGACTCCAGCTTTTCCCAGCATTTTTCTGTATTTCTTCAATATCTGTACATCATATTTCAACTAAATCCTCCTATTCCCAGAGCACACATTTCTGCCTCTTGAATTCATTACCTGTACTCCTCATTTCTACTTCCAGCTGGGAAAATTATTTTATCCAGAAGAGTAAATATTGTGGAGTTTTTATTTTTGGAAATGTTAAACATTTCAGGTTAATTCTATGTATAATACTTAATTTGAACAAAATTTTAAGGGTAGAAAGAAAAACTTTGGGAATAACGAAGTAAAAGAAATTTAAGCAGAATTTTGAGGGTGAACAAACAGTATCATGGCATAAATACCAAATGCGTGGTAACTGATGCAGAAATACAAAGATAAGAATACACTATCTAGAAATAGGCCCAATGATATCTAAGTATAAGTAACTATTTGTAATTAAGAATACAGAAAACATCAGAGGAAATATTCATTCAACAATAATATTGTGTAAAAACTTTAAACAACTGATAAAAAAGTAAACTCAGATTCCCACTTCAGATTTTATGCAAACATTAACAACAGGAACAGAAGAATTATTTATTAAAATGGGAATTTTTTGAAAGAGATGCCAAGTTTAAAAACAAAGGGGAATATTCAATGTTATAAGACTTGAGAATATTAAAATAGTCCAAAGTATGAAAATTCACACTCAAAAGCAAAGAAAAAGGAATTGAAAACTTCCGTCCCTGTCAATATGGAAACAGACTAATGTACATCATGAAGATTTGTTTTGAAAATTGATAAAATCCAAAAGAATAAAGTTGAAAGTATTGGCAATGGGTAAGATAATTCATAGAGAAGATATTACCTGTAAAGACACATACAGTAAAATATTAAGTTCACAAATATAAATTAAAATAGCGTTTTGCTATTTTATATCAAGTCAATTACAATTTAAATGCTAGTTTTGTCCACTGCTATAGGCAGTACACTGAAACAAATGCTGTCATATATGTCTAATAGCATTGTAAATTATTTTAATGCTTTTTGTTTAAAAATTTATTTATTTGAAAATCAGAATTATAGAGAGAGGAAGAGATAGAGAGAGATCCTCCACCTACTGATTCACTCCCCAAATGGCTGCACATACCCAGGGCTAGTCCAAGCCAAAGCCAGAAGCTTGATCCAGGTCTCCCATGTGGGTACAGGAGCCCTAGGGCTTGGGTCATATTCCATTGCTTTCCCAGATGCCTTAGCAGAGAGCTGGATCACAAGTAGAGCACATGGGACTCTAATTGTTGCCCATATAGGATTCTGGCTTTGTAAGCCATAGTTTAACCCATTATGCCACAATGCTGGCCACAATTTTAACATTTTTTGAAAAACATAAATATATAATAAGTTTCTAATGCCATTATTGTGTCCTTATGCTTAGAAATAGTGTTTACATTTCTCTAATTTTTTCTTATGAAAAAGATTCAAGTTTGGGAGGAAAAAAGTTCTTGAGAAAAATATGAATTATAGAATTGTGACATTGAATAATTCAAAACAACATAATGCCTAAGGAGAGAAGCTACCTAAAAAATTAGATATATACCATTTGAACATTTATTATCATTAAAATTGATAATTCTAAAGATAATATAACGATACTTACAATAAAATGGGTAGTAAACAAAGAATATAAAATAATATAGTTATTTTTTACTGAATGAAAATAGCAAAAAATTTATAGGGAGTAAAATGATTAGTATAACAATTGTATTATGCTGAGATAAATATGGGAGAATTTTGTCTTATACTCAACTTTTTTTTCCAAATTTCTTGGGTCTAAAACAAATAAAAAATTACAAGTGTATTGTAAGGTGATCCTAAACATCATATAAATCTGTAAAGCTTATTTTCTATCTTTTAAAAAATAAGTAAGTTTACTTTGGAAAAACTGCCTCATGGATTGAATTGTTTTCTTAGGTCACATAGCTCTCCCTTTCCCGAGTCTTTCTGTATTTGCCATATCCTCTCTAAATGACAGGAACAATCTATGTCTCTATATGATGTTTGCAAATCGTGATATAACTGCAGTACATACTAATGGTAAATGATGAATAGCAGGAGTTAAACTGGATATTGAATTTCTCCATAAAAATTCTGAAACATAAGGAAAAGATAGTCTCAATCTTGCTTTTCTTGGATCAGTGCCTTGGCCCACCAAAAGATACAGGGTGTAGACTTCTTAGTATCTTCCAGCTCACGTAGCAGTCACCCTCGAGACCTATTGACTCAACTCTGGTGTTCTGAGCATGGACCTTCCATGGTTACCTCAAATTGCATTCCGCTCCATATGAGGAACATTGGAGAGACTTTAGCAGTAGCCGTAAGATTAGGTATCTAGAGGGGGAGGTGTGGGCGCTTGTGCAATTAGATGTATGTCTGTGTATCCACATGGATCTCCTTTTTAAAAAGATTTATTTATTTATTTGAAAGAGTTACAGAGAGATAGGGAGGGATGGAGAGAGAGAGAAAGATTGATTGATTGTGATTTCATCTGCTGATTCACTCCCCAAATGGTTGCAACAGCCAGATCTGGACCAGGCCAAAGCCCGGAGCCAGGAGACTTTTCCAGGTCTCCTACATGGGTGCAGGTGCCCAAGAATGTGGGCTTTCCTCCACTTCTTTCCCAGGCATATTAGCAGAGAGCTGGATTAGAAGTAGAACCTCCATGATTTGAACCAGCACCCATATGGGATACTAGCATTGCAGGTGGAGACTTAACCTGCTACATGATAACACTGGTGCTGAATCTCTGTATTTGAAACAATGATTTGTGAATTAGATTGACATAGCTTCATATTGCAATTATCTTTTATTCAATTGTCTCTTTCCTTTATGTGAACTGCTAACAGATAAGGTTTATGCCCCATTATATGCTATCACAAAATCTGAATTTGTGAGGCTAAATAAATGCTGAAAATAGCTTAAATCTAAATGGTGGATATTTTAGTTATTACTGTATCCTTTTCATTAATGTAATGCAGTTGTAAAAATTATACTGAAATTATCACTCTAAAGTTTAATAGCTGTGAACTTGAACAAGTAATTTAACTGCTAACCTGTAATTGTCTAACCTAGGACAGGGGCTATTACTCTTCTCAACTTTCAGAATTGCTCTGAAGATTAAAATAGTATGCTTACAAATATTTAAAATAGTAATTGGCACACAGGAAGTGATTTGCTAAATTCTGTTATTAAAACTAAATAATAAAAAATTAAGGTCTAAACATTTTTCAATAATACTGAATGATTCCTTTAATAACAGTACCCTAACACCAGGCTTTGTGCTGTGAACTCTGTTATAGCAAGAAATGTTTGGTGTATCACGGCCATTCAAATATTTTGAAAAATGGAGGAAACACAGTATCTTGCACTTGTAATAGATTTATCTTCTTTTATTATTATTATTATTATTATTATTATGTATACTGCCACCATCTGTCACTTGGTAAATCTTCATAATTTGCCAGGTACCTTACTATGAATGGATTATCTCATTTCAATACTGATATTACTTCTATGAGTAGATTATTAGGCCAATTAAGATGAATGGAGTCCTGCCTATATTTATTTACCTAGGTTTATCAATGAATAATTATTTCCATGCAAATACTGCCATCATTGTTTTCACTGGTACATGTAAATACTTGTGTGGTTTTATAAGTCTGTGTAATCCTATTAAAAATGAAGTAACTGTGTATAATATTCTTAAAATGCATGGTACAGTAATTTAAATATACTAACATGTCTAACTTTGTTCTATATGTTTAGTTTTCTGGGTAGTATACATATTTTCTTCAGGTTTTAACTGTGTTAGCTTCCTTTTTCAGCCCAATTCTGTTGAGAATTGTGAATGATCAACTGATGTTCCTGGAACGAGCCTTCATTGATCCTTTAGGGTTACCAGACAGACCTTTCTACAGGTAAGAAAAATTATTATTCCTTTCTATAATATTTTTATTTATTTGTTACACTGTGGAAACAGAAATTTCTTTTAAAGGTTTACTTATTTATTTGAGAGTCAGAGTTACAGAGAAAGAGGGAGAGACAGAGAAAGAGGTCTTCCATCCACTGGCTCACTCCATAGTTTACAATGGCCAGGGCTGGGCCAGGCCATAGCCAAGAGCCAGAAGCTTCATCCAGGTCTGCCACATGACTGACAGGGGCCCAAACATATGAACGATCTTTAACTTCTTTCCCAGAGCTATTAGCTGGGAGCTGGATAAAAAATGGAACAGCTAGACATGCACCAGCACCCCTATAGGATGCCAGCATTGCAGGTGGTGGTTTTACCTGTTAAACCACAATGCTGGCCCCCATTTTTTGTTTCTAACTATGAAAATATGTTTATATTTGTCAATTTAGAAGATCCAGAGAGCTACAGACAGAAAATAAAAACTTCCCCCACTGCATCAAATATAAAATCATGTTTATATTTTGGTGTATATTAATTTTAGCCATTTTCTTGTTATAAATATATGTTAATATATACACAGAAAAATAAATCTATGTACATATAAGTATTTTATAATATATTTATTTACTTATTCCTCTAATATTAACATTTAGGGGGTTTTTCCCCTAAACCTTGACAACTCTTTCTGATAAATATCAGTTATCCCCAGGCTCATCTTACTGAGTATTGTAGAATGAATTAGACCATTGGAGAGCTAGAAATGTCTCTTCCTTCATATCCAGGGATGTTTTTGTTTAGTATTCATGTCTGGAGTTGGGGCATCATCCAAACAGGCTTACTGGCTTGTCAATGTGAGCATGACTGCACCCTTTTATTTCTTTACCTCTTTGCTTTGAAATTTGTCCTGGAAAGGGCTATTGAATAAACTGGCTTTACTCTTGAAATAAAAGTCTTAAAGTCTTCTACCTACGTCATGTGGGATATTACAAAATTGTTTTCAATGATTCTTCATGCTTTAAACAAATTGTTCCAACATGTTAGTGAAACTTTTTTAAAGAAGAGAAAAATACACAATCAGTAATTGGGTGATTGCAAACAGGACTTCAATAGTCATATTGTGTATAATTCAGGGGGTAGTGTGATATAGGAAAATATAAGCACTAAAATTTTGCAGAAGTGTATTAAGATAGATGATTAAATCACTTAACCTATTGGAGCTGTTTCCTCCTCTATGAAAAATGGATGTCCACTTTTTATGATTTATATATTAGGATGAAAAAATTACAAGTAAAATTTTAAAAGCTAACATGAGGAGATTGGATTAAGATAGCAGAATAGGAGCCGGCGCCGCGGCTCACTAGGCTAATCCTCCGCCTAGCGGCGCCGGCACACCGGGTTCTAGTCCCGGTTGGGGCGCCGGATTCTGTCCCGGTTGCCCCTCTTCCAGGCCAGCTCTCTGCTGTGGCCAGGGAGTGCAGTGGAGGATGGCCCAGGTGCTTGGGCCCTGCACCCCATGGGAGACCAGGAAAAGCACCTGGCTCCTGGCTCCTGCCATCGGATCAGCGCGGTGCGCCGGCCGCAGCGCGCCGGCCACGGCGGCCATTGGAGGGTGAACCAATGGCAAAGGAAGACCTTTCTCTCTGTCTCTCTCTCTCACTGTCCACTCTGCCTGTCAAAAAAAAAAAAAAAATAAGATAGCAGAATAGGGAGGGAGCTTACTGCTCTAGTCTAGGAGAAAATAGTTTTAAAAAGTTGAGGAGAGTGCAATCTCAGGGAAGAGTTAGGGAAAAACAGCAGAGGAAACTCCATACAAATGGGAGGGAATTGTGGCCCTACATGAAGGGTGTGGACACATACAACTCCAGGACTCCAGCAGCCAAGAACCTCAGCACCAGCTCTGGAGTGAGGTAAGACCAATCTGCAGCAGCCCAAGCCACTGAAGATAAAGCTGAGGTAACAGCCCTGCAGGAATTTGGCTTAGAATCCTGTGGAGACAATGTGCATGCCAAATTAGAGGGGAAAATAGAGGTGGGGGAGGCTCATTTCTCTCTCCCACTGGTGTCCTGCAACAAACCAATAGAGGGTGGGTGCCATTTTGGATGTACACAACAGCTGTGCCAGCCTATGTGCTGGCACCCGGCAACCAGCTAGAAAGAGATGCCTGAGTCTGGCAGGGAGCCACAGGGGGCTGAGTGCTGTTGACTGTGGGAGGCTTGTGTGCTAGGATTGTAAAAATACTGTGTCTGCATGGGAGCACTTAGCGTGTGGCTGGGTCTTTGAGCAATCACTGTGGGAGGCTCCAGACACTCAGGGCTCCCTAATTGCTTGGTAAGGGTCATTGCTGAAGAGTCTGTGCTTACATGGAGGACTGCACAGATCTTTTGTGTGGTTCTTGTGGCAGTACAGTCAAATATTATACCCACTCGGGCTAGCACTCAGGCACTGGTCTCCTTTGAGGATAGGAGGTAAGCTGAGACTACACCTGCAGAGCAGAAAATTAACCTCCCCTCTGATTAAAAAAAAAAAAAAAGAAGAAGGGATTTACCACGCTCAACCTGGGTGTGTCATTTTGGGCACCCCCTTCACCCTGGAGCACTTAGAAGAACTCCATGGCCACACCTACCACATACCTTTAGGTATTCACTGAAAAAGTGTACACTCCACTAATCCACAGAGGCATAGAACAAAGATAATAGCCATCACAGAGAAAAAAAAAAAACAATAAACCAATGAGTATCTCCACAAATGCCAAATAAATGTAGCAATTCAAGAAACAAGAATAAGGAAGACAACATGACACCCACAAAAGAACATGACACTTCAATACTAGAATGTGAAGATGAAGAGATTGAAGACATGTCAGAAACGAAATTCAAAAAAATTGATTGTAGGATTACTTAGAAGTAATCAGAAGCAAATCCATGAACTAATGAAATCTATACATGACATGAAATAAAATTTCTCCCATCAAAATAAAATCTTGGAAATGAAGAAATCAATAGAACAAAGAAAAAATACAGTAGAAAGCCATAACAACAGAATCAGTGAAGCAGAAGAAAGAATATCTGACTTAGAAGACAAAGCACAGGAAATTATACAGTCAGAACAAACACAAGAATGAATTAGAAAACCTAAAAAAAAAAACAAACACTTTTGGGAATCTATAGGATACTATCCAACAACCCAACATACAAGTCTTGTTGAACCCAACATACAAGTATGTTGAGTTCTTGAAGGCTTGGAAAGAAAGGATTAGATGGCCTTTTAAATTAAATTATTACAGAAAACCTCCCTAATTTGGAAAAAGAAATGTTCATTCAAGCACAGGAAGCACATGGAACTCTTAATAGATATGACCATAAAAGATCTTCACCATGGCACATTGTAGTCAAACTCTCCACAGTAAAACATAACGAAAAGATTCTAAAATGTGCATGAGAGAAACACCAGATTACTTTCAGAGTATCTCCAATTAGACTCACAATGGATGTCTCATCAGAAAACCCTTCAGGCTAGGATAGAATGGAGAGATATATTCCAAGTCTTATTTTTTTTAAGATTTATTTATTTATTTGAAACTCAGTTACACACAGAGAGAAAGAGAGGCAGAGAGGCAGAGAGGCAGAGGGAGAGAGAGAGAGAGAGAGAGAGAGAGAGAGAGAGGGAGGTCTTCCATCTGCTGGTTCACTCCCCAGTTGGCTGCAATGGCTGGAGCTGTGCTGATCCAAAGCCAGGAACCAGAAGCTTCCTCAAGGTCTTCCATGCAGGTGCAGGGTCCCAAGGACTTGGGCCATTTTTACTGCTTTTCCAGGCCACAGAAGAGAGCTGGACCAGAAGTGGAGCCACCAGGACTTGAACTGGTGCCCATATAGGATGCTGGCACTACAGGTGGCAGCCTTACCTGCTACACCACAGCACCAGTCCTCCAAGTCTTGAGAGAAAAAACTGTCAACTCAGAATGCTATACCCTGCAAAGCTCTCATTTATGAATGTAGGTGAAATAAAGGCCTTTCATAACAAAAAGAAATTGAAAGAATTTATCACCACTCATCCAGCCTTACAAAAGATAATAAGGATGTGCTGCCCACAGAAACATGAAAACATAGTCATCACTATGGAAGAAGGTAAAGGAAGGAAAGCTCCCAGCAAAAGTACAAAGGAAATCCAAAATAAAAGGAATATTTATGAAAAATGGCAGGGCAAAATTGTTACTTATCAATCACTTTGAATGTAAATGGCCTTAACTCTCCAGTTATAAGACAGACTGGCTGAATGGATTAAAAAACAAAACCCATCTATTTGATGCCTACAAGAAACATATCTCACCAACAAAAATGCATGCAGACTGAAAGTGAAAGGATGGAAAAAAGATACCCCATACCAACAGAAACCAAAAAAGGACTGGTGTGGTCATCTTAATATCAGACAAAATAGACTTTAGCACAAAAACTGTTAAAATAGACAAAGAAGGGTACTATGTAATGATTAAGAACATAAGCAAACATGTGGAGACTGAACAACATGCTCCTGAATGAACAGTGGGTCATAGAAAAAAGAGAAATCAAAAAATTTCTGTAAACAAATGGAGACAACAGCACAACATATCAAAACTTATTGGATATACCAAAAGTAGAATTAAGAGGAAAGCTTATAGCAATTTGTGCCTACATCAAGAAATTGGAAAGGCACTAAATAAATGAGCTATCAATGCATCTCAAGGTCCTAGAAAAACAACAGCAAACTAAACCCAAAACTAGAAGGGGAAAAGAAATAATGGAAATTAGAGAAGAAATAAAATTGAAACAAAAAAAATAGAAAAGATCAGCAAAATGAAGAGCTGTTTTCTTGAAAAAATAAACCAAATTGACATGCCATTGGCCCAACTAACCAAAAAATAGAAAAAAAGGAGGGAGTAAACACAAATTAATAAAATTAGAGATTAAAAAGGAAATGTTAACAGCAGACACCACATAAAGAGAGTCACCAGAAATTACTATAAAGAGCTGTATGCCAACAAACCAGAAAACCTAGAAGAAAGGGACACATACAAACTACCTAAATTGAGCCTTGAAGACACAGAAAACCTTAGCAGACCCATAAACAAGACAGAAATTGAATCAATAATAAAGACCCTCCCCAAAAAAGTCCAGGACCAGATGGCTTAACTGCTGAATACTATCAGACATTTAAAGAAGAACTAACACCAGCTTTTCTCAAATTATTCAAAACAAAAGGAAAGGAATTCATACATTCTTTCTATGAGACCATAATCACCTTAATAATGAAATGTAAAGAAGATACAACAAAGAGAACTATAGACCAATTCCCTGATGAACATAGATGCAAAAATCCTCAACAAAATACTAGCCAATCAAACCCAACAACACATCAGAAAGATCATCCACCTGGACCAAGTGTGATTTACCCCTAGGATGCAAATTAAAGAATGTGATACATCACATTAACAAACTGAAGAACAAAAAGCATGTGATCATCTCAATAGATGCAGAAGAACCATTTGATAAAATACAACACCCTTTCATGATGAAAACTCTAAGCAAATTGGGTATAGCAGAAACATTTCTCAACAGAATCAAGGCAATTTATGACAAACCCACAGCCAGCATCCTCTTGAATGGAGAAAAGTTGAAAACCTTCCCATAGATCCAGAACCAGACGGGGATGCCCACTCTCACCATTGCTATTCAATATAGTCCTGAAAGCTTTAGCCAGAGCTGTTAGGCAAGCAAAAGAAATAAAATGGATACAATTTGAGAAGGAGGAAGTCAAACTATCCCTATTTACAGATGAGATGATTCTGTATATAGGGGTTACAAAAGACTCCACTAAGAGTGTTGGAACTCATAGAAGAGTCTGGTAAAGTAGCAGGATATAAAATCAACACAAAAAATTCAACAGACCTTGTATACACAAATCAGGCCACAGCCAAGAAAGAACTTCTAAGATCAATCCCATTCATGTTAGCTACAACAAAATTTAAATATCTTAACCACAGATGTCAAAGATCTCTGTGGTAAGAATTATAAAACATTAAAGAAGGAAATAGAAGAAGATACAAAATAATGGAAAAACTTCCATGTTAATGGACTGGAAGAATCAATTTCATCAAAAATATTGATACTATTGAAAGCAATTTACAGATTCAATGTGATACCCATCAAAATACTAAAGACATTCTTCTCAGACCTAGAAAAAATGATGCTGAAATTCATATGGAAGCACAGGAGACCTCAATTGGTGAAAGCAATCTTATATAATGAAAACAAAGCTAGAGGCATCACAATACCAGTTTTCAAGACATACTATAAAGCAGTTATAATCAAAACAGCCTGGTGCTGGTGCAAAAACAGATGGATAGACCAATGGAATAGAATAGAAAAGCCATAAATCTAGCATCTACAATCACTTATATTTGAATAAGGAGCTAAAACCAAACTCTGGAGTAAGGACTGTCTCTTCAACAAATGGTGCTGGGAAAACTGGATTTCCACATGCATAAGTATGAAGCAGGATCCCCCTACCTTATACCTTACACAAAAATCCACTCCTAGTGGATTAAAGACCTAAATCTATGACCTTATACCATCAAATTATTAGAGAACATTGTGGTGGGCCAGTGCCATGGCACACTAGGTTAATCCTCTACATGTGGTGCTGGCATCCCATATTGGTGCTGGGTTCTAGTCCCAGTTGCTCCTCTTTCAGTCCAGCTCTCTGTTGTGGCCCAGGAGGGCAGTGGAGGATGGCCCAAGTGCTTGGGCCCCTGCAACCACATGGGAGACCAGGAAGAGGCACCTGGCTCCTGGTTTCGGATTGGCATAGCTCTGGCCATTGCAGCCATTTGGGGAGTGAAACATTGGAGGGAAGACCTTTCTCTCTGTTTCTCTCTCTCTCACTGTCTGTAAATCTACTTTTCAAATAAATAATAAAAAATAAAAAATAAACATTGGGGAAACTCTTCAAGACATTGGCACAGACAAAGAGTTCTTGGAAAAGACCACAGAGATATAGACAATCAAAGCCAAAATTGACAAATGGTATAGCAGCAAATTCAGAAGCTTCTGTACTGCAAACGAAACACTCAGCAAAGTGAATAGAAAACTGACAGAATAGGAGAAATTATTTGCAAACTATGCAACTGATAAAGGATTAATAAGAAGAATATATAAAGAAATGAAGAAACTCAACCACAACAAAACAAACTACCCAGTTATTAAATGAGCAAAGGTTGTAAACAGACATTTTTCATCAGAGGAAATCCAAATTGCCAACAGATGCATGAAAAAATACTCAGGATCACTATCCATCAGGGAAATGCAAATCAAAACAGCAATGAGGTTTCACCTCACCCCAGTAAGAATGGCTTTTATACAGAAATCAACAAACAACAAATGCTGTCGAGGATATGTGGAAATAGGTATCCTAACCCACTGTTGGTGGGAATGTAAGTTTTTAAAGCCACTATGGAAAACGATATGGAGATGCCTCAGAAATCTGAATAGAGCCCTACCATATGACCTCTTCACCCCACGCCTGGGAATTTACCCAAGGGACATGAAATCAGCATATGAATGACTTAACTGTACCCCATGTTTATTACAGCTCAACTAACAATAGTTAAGACATGTAATTAACCCAAATGTCTGTCAACTGAAGACTGAATAAAAAAATTATGGGATATGTATACCATGGAATACCACAGAGTTTAGAAAAAAATGAAATCTGGTCATTTGCAACAAAATGGATAAAACTGAAGACATCATACTTATTGAAATATGACAGTCCCAAAGGGACAAATACCATATGTTCTCCCTCATCTATGATAACTAATAGAACACCTAAAAGGCAATATGTAGAAATGAAATTGACACTTTGAGAAGCAATGACTTTGAACAGCCCTTCTCTTGACTGTTGAGTAACAGTTTTCTCCCCATAATATTTGTTGAGCTGTTAACATAAAGTTAAACATGTGTATAAAATTAATTGAAAATACATCTTAGTAAAAAGAGTGGGAGTAAAAAAGGGAGAAGGGAAGTTGGAGTGTGTGTGGGAGGGCAGGCACAGTGGGAAGAACCAATATGTTCCTAAAGTTGTAACAATGAAATGTATGAAGTTTGTAGCTGTGAAGCTGTGTAGTTCTGCATACATTCCTACAGATTTACTTCTAAGTGTACAGTTTGAAAACTTGCCATGGAACCCCAAATCTCCTTAAGCTGGGTGGGTGGTTAAAAATAACATTTTAAGTCTTAAAGTGATCATATAGATAGGATTAAATATTAAAATGATCATATAAATAGGATTAAGTGTTTGGTGATAATAGATAAAATTAAAAAGGAATGAGTACTTCAACATAGGAAGCAGTCCATAGAGCAGACTCATAGAATGATGATTACTTTAAGTAGCACTCTGACCTCAGAATCAGCCCTTAAAGCATTCTGTTCCGGCTGAAAAGCCCAAGAGAGCATTTCAGGAATGGAAAGCCATGACACTGCTGCAAAAAGTGGCCTACATGAAGGATCTCTGTGGGTGAGACGCCAGTAGAAAGAACTGGTCATCAAAGAGGGAGGTACTTTTCTCTGAAGGAAGGAGAGAACTTTCACTTTGCTTATGGCCTTCTCTAAATGTGGAAGGAGTTTGTGGATTCAAAAGGCTTCCTTAGCCGAGGAGCTCATATCAAGACCCTTGGGTGATCACTGACATTATACATAAGAGTGTTAATTGTTAAATTAACAATAATAGTCACTGTGTACTAACTTCCCATGCAGGACCTCTGTCCTCAAAGAGTTGTATTATGAGAGTTAATAGTAAAGCTTGTTCTCAAGGATTTACTTCATTTTATTAAGTGGAGGATATTCTTAGGTCTCATAAGTTATCATTATGTCTAAGTGTTCACAAAATATGTATCATTCTTGGGTTCTTCTTTAAAGTTAATTAAGTTTCTTAAAATGATTTTAAAGAAAGTGAAATTAGCTTCAAGATGCAATGACTTTGAACAGTCCTCACCTCAACTGTTGAAGAGCAGTTTTTTTTTTTTCCATACAATTTGTTGAACTCTTTACTTAGTACAGAATTAATCTTCTGGTACCAAGTTAATTCAAAATAGGTCTTAGTAAAAAATAGGATGCAGAATAGGAAAGGGAGGAGGAAGGGTGGGAGTGTGGGTGGGAAGAATCACTATGTTCCTAAAGTTGTGTTTATGAAATGCATGATGTTTGCATTCCTTAAATAAAAGGTTTGTTTGGGAAAAAAATAACAAATATCACCAATAATGGGTAAGCAGCTGGTGTTGCTATCATTGTTACTGTTATTTGCTTAAAGTCAAAATATAATCAGGACATATTTATACTAGTCTTTGGGGACAATTGAACATAGAAGTTCAGTTTATAAGTGGTTTATTAAAATCATAAAATTATGGATAAGTCATTCAGGAACTATAGACTGTTCTTTTTTTTTCTCTCTTGCATATCATTTAGGTAACTAACGTTAAACTATTTTATCAACAGGCATGTCATCTATGCTCCAAACAGCCACAACAAATATGCAGGAGTGTCATTCCCAGGAATTTATGATGCTCTGTTTGATATTGTAAACAAAGAGGACCCTTCCAAGGCGTGGGAAGAAGTGAAGAAACAGATTGCTATTGCAGCCTTCACAGTGCAGGCTGCAGCAGGGACTTTAAGAGAAGTAGCCTAAGAAGATTCCTTAGAGAACACAAACTGAATTTGTATGGTATATCAGTCAGAAAGAACCATAGTGCCCATTTGTTTCCCAAAAGTTTGTAGGAAAATTAAATTTAAAGATAAAGTAAAAAATAAAAACTTCATCCACATAAGCTCCATCAAGTTCAAGACACTATTGTAAGTGACGATACCATCTTTTTAGTCCACCCTTAAAAAGTTGAGTGTTCTGGGAATTTTGCCATGTCAATGCAATATTTCTATATTATAAACTGAGGAAAATTCAGTGCCCTTTAAACAATTTTTTTAATTAGTAAAAAACAACTTAGTAGGAGCCAGATCAGGACTGTAAGTTAGATGCCTTGCTTGGTAAGAGGAACATGCAGGAACATTAGGAAGAAGGATTCTCCAGTGTTTTTTTGCCTAACATTTTGGCTAACTTTTCCATGCCACTCTAATTATAAGCAGATGTTATTATTTCTTTTGCCTTTGAGAAAGTAAACAATGAATAATAAAGGTAGACTTTGAGAATTTTTAAAAACTACTGCCATGAACTTTATTCTTTACCTGGCTGCTTTTGCTTTGACTGAACCCCTTCCATCTCCTGGTATCCCTTGCTTTGATCATGCTTTGCTTTCAGTATTGTTCTGGGAAAGATCTGCTTAATCTCCTGTTACCATCCTTGAAATAAATACTTTAGAATCTTGATCCCACCTATTTCAAATCTTCTTTGAAAGCTCTCTTCTATCTGCAGCTTATCTGGGTGCATCAGTTTTGGTGCCCATAGAGGACCAAGTCTGCTGTACTTTAATTTTCACTCACAATCATGTAAGCTGAAATAGTTGAGATGTATATGGCATTGGTTGTCATTTCTGCTCTCAATCATTTGTCTTCTGCAATAAGCGCATGAACAAGATTCATTTTTTCCCTTGTAGATTGATGTGTATGGTCTAAACTGCAGGCTTCATCTTGAACATGATCTTAAAGATTCTTAAAATGAATTCTCAGTTTGCAAATTGAGGATTTCTTTGGGACATTGAAATCTTTGGGACATTGTCTTCATAAGCTTTTCACGAAACATCGATGATTTCACCATTCTTCTACCAAAGTTTCACCATCAGCTTGGTGTTTATATAAATTGCTTCAGTTTTAGCAAAATTCATGTTACTCTGACAGAAGATCTTTTTTTTAACTGGTATCTTACTCTTCTTAGTGACACAAACTAGATCTTTTTTTTTTATTTTTTTATTTTTTTTTTATTTATTTTTTTTTTGACAGGCAGAGTGGACAGTGAGAGAGAGAGACAGAGAGAAAGGTCTTCCTTTGCCGTTGGTTCACCCTCCAATGGCCGCCGCGGTCGGCACGCTGCGGCCGGCGCTCCGCGCTGATCTGATGGCAGGAGCCAGGAGCCAGGTGCTTTTCCTGGTCTCCCATGGGGTACAGGGCCCAAGCACCTTGGCCATCCTCCACTGCACTCCCTGGCCACAGCAGAGGGCTGGCCTGGAAGAGGGGCAACCGGGACAGAATCCGGTGCCCCGACCGGGACTAGAACCCGGTGTGCCGGCGCCGCCAGGCGGAGGATTAGCCTAGTGAGCCGCGGCGCCGGCTGACAAACTAGATCTTGTTCAGACATTCAATTGTAAGTTAGTATGAGTTTACTTAGGCTCAAATTTTTTTTTTTAAATACTTGCATTGTTTTCCATATTTTGCATAGTGCACATTTCCATGAACCTTTTGAAGATTGCATATTTGGAGGCTATAAACACATTAGTTTTCCTCTCCCTGTGGATAAAAACACAAATTTTATCCTGATGATAGAAAAGTATTGTGAACTTGAAAAGTTGAACTAAGTATTAAATCTAAGGAGAACTGGTATCATCAGGGAATCAAGTTTGATACAATTTTTTTTTAAATTTTTTTGACAGGCAGAGTTAGACAGTGAGGGAGAGAGACAGAGAGAAAGGTCTTCCTCCCATTGGTTCATCCCCCAAATGGCTGCTACAGCCGGCACAATGCGCTGATCCAAAGCCAGGAGCCAGGTGCTTCCTCCTGGTCTCCTGTGCAGGTACAGGGCCCAAGCACTTGGGCCCTCCTCCACTGCACTCCCGGGCCACAGCAGAGAGCTGGACTGGAAAAGGAGAAACTGGGACAGAATCCAGCGCCCCAACTGGGACTAGACCCGGTGTTCCGGTGCTGCAGGTGGAGGATTAGCCTAGTGAGCCACGGCGCTGGCTGATACAATACTTTCAAACCTACTCATGCCATTGCACACATAGAAAATCAACAGTTGGTGTGGGGCACATTGGCAAAGATACAGAAGGCTGTTCTAAGACTTCAGGCCCTTCCTGGCTGCCCAGTGATAGAGGATCACTATCGCAACACACAAGTTGGGAAATTGATCTAGTCACACTTCTAATAAATGTAGTGACTCTATAACATTACTTTTTAAAATTAAGTATTTATTTTGTATAAAAGACTATAAAATACATGTATAGTGAAAAATGATTACTTGAACATTTGTAAACCCAATAACTGGACTAAGGAAGAATCATTACCAATATCTTCAAATCCCCAAGATGCTGCTGACTAATTGTGCCTTTTCTGCCAATGATAATCACTTTCTTGAAATCTTGTGTGTGATTCCTCTGTTTTACTTTATAGTTTTGCCCCACATATGGTTGCTCCCTTTACATGTTTGGATTTTGTACATTTTTGAATTTTCTATTAATAAAATTATAGGGTTTTTTTTTTGGTACTTGACTGACTTGTCTTAAAAAGTTTATTCATGTAGCCGGCGCCGTGGCTCAATAGGCTAATCCTCCACCTTGCGGCGCCGGCACACCGGGTTCGAGTCCCGGTTGGGGCGCCGGATTCTGTCCCGGTTGCCCCTCTTCCAGGCCAGCTCTCTGCTATGGCCAGGGAGTGCAGTGGAGGATGGCCCAGGTGCTTGGGCCCTGCACCCCATGGGAGACCAGGAAAAGCACCTGGCTCCTGGCTCCTGCCAGGATCAGCGTGGTGCGCCGGCTGCAGCGGCGGCCATTGGAGGGTGAACCAACGGCAAAAAGGAAGACCTTTCTCTCTCTGTCTCTCTCTCTCACTGTCCACTCTGCCTGTCAAAAAAAAAAAAAAAAAAAAAAAAAGTTTATTCATGTGTTACTGTGGCTATAGTTGACCAGAATTCTCTGATATGTACTTGTATGGATGCAATAGTTGTCTGTCAGCACCCACCGAGACAGAGAAACTGCACAATTACATAAGCAGAAAAGTTAATATAAGGGTAATGAAGTATTGTTCACTACAAGATAAAGAGAACTCAAAGATCCATGAAAAGTATGTATAAGGAGTGGCCACTGTCTCTTGGGCAGCAGATGATTCAGTTTCTCCTACCCTGTAGGCCTCATTCAATGGCAGAAGAGTTGTGTGGTGCTACATTAGCAGAAGTTGCTGCAAATCCACATCCCAGAATTCCCTCAGAAACTTAGAAACCTAGAAGGCAACTGTGGAAAGCATTTAATGTATAAATGTCTTACCAGAGGCACTCCACTATAAATCTGCTCAATGGATACAGAGTTCTGCTGGCCATTGTAAACTACAGGAACCAGGCACTACAGCATCAGCCTGCACTAAGGATCTGAGTATTGGTAATGCCATTGGGGCCAAATCCTGGAGAAATCATCTCTGCAGGAAACTTTCAAGTCAGCACAAGGAAAACTCATTATTGCAATGCCTCTTCAGTGCCTTCCACTCACAAAATTTAGCATTCTGTTACTTTGAAAAAACAACAAACCAAAGTCCCAGATCCATTTAAAAAGAAATGGCAATGAAGGATGTATTTGGCATAAAAAAGATGGATATAACATGTAGCAAAATTTATTCATTTTTCTGCTAGTATTTGAGATATTTTCTATATTTTGTGTCTATGAACATGTTGCCTTGTGTAATATTCATTAAATTTTCTTTCCTGACACTGTGTACCTACAATGGAGTTTTAGGGTTGTAAAATCTGTGCATCTTTAATTTTCTGAGAACCATCAAATTATTTCAAAATAATCTATTTGTTTATACCCAAACTGGCAAGGCAATCATGCTATTCAAAAATTTTACAAATATGAAAGAAGCTGGAGGCCAGCGCTGTAGTGCAGTGGGTAAAGTTGCCACATGCAGTACTGGCATCCTATATGGGCACCGGTTTAAATCCCAGCTGCTCCACTTCCAATCCTGCTCTCCGCTATGGCGTAGGAAAGTGGTGGAAGATGACCCAAGTCCTTGGGCCCCTGCACCCATGTGGGAGACTAAGAAGAAGCTCCTGACTCCTGGCTTCATACTGGTGCAACTCCAGCCGTTGCAGCCATTTGGGAAGTGAACCAGCAGATGGAAAACCTCTCTCTCTGCCTCTGCCTCTCTGTAACTCTGCCTTTCAAATAAAATAAATCTTTAAAAAAAGCTGGCATGCTAGAGAGACAAATTCTTAATGTTACTAAAATTCAAGGGGTTCATAGGAATGATGATACATACATTAAGCATTAGATATTCCATGGAAATCATCAGAAGGCACTCAAAGGAATGTAACTATCCTGAATTTTATAAAAAGCAACTTTTTCAGTGATGGCTTTTCTCATCATTGTATGACTCTGGATTAAGTGGATTGTCTGCTTTTGGTGAATCTCTAGAGGTTGTGGTTGGTGTGGCCAGAGAGCTCTATTCAGTTCTTTGGGATTAAGAGTGTGCCATAGGTGACATACCCAGGTTTGGCATGGTAAATCTCTTTTTCTTCAGAAGGGAAGTAATTCCACTCAGCTGAGCTCTTCTCCTCGATGGCAATCAGTGCCTGAGCACTAGCCCCAGTGGGTATAATATTTGTCTGCTCTGCCTCAAGGACCACACAAAGGACCTATGCAGTCCTCAGTGGAAGCTCAGATTCCCCTGCAATGTCTCTTCCCCGGGTAGCCAAGGCCGCCTGAATTTTTGGTGTCTCCCACTGAGACTACTCACATTTCAGCCACACTGTGAGTTCACACATCCTCAGGTTTTTTTTTTTTTTTTTTTTTTTTTTCTAAAGTCCTGGTTCATAAGCTCCACACATTCACTAGGTCTTAGTCTCCTGTTATTTCTCCACACCAGAGGCAGGATTTCTGCTTGGCTGAGGGTGGGCACAGCCCTGAGCTGGCGCAGCTGTTACGTATGTCCAAAATGGTGCCTGCTCTATTGTCTCACTCACCTTTGTTAGGTGAGTGGAGAGAGAGAATCATGTCCATACCAGTCCCCCTCCCCTTTTTTTTTCTCTCCTCTAGTTAGGCTGGTGTACTTTTCCCCCACAGAGCTTCAAGCTTCATTCCCTCTAGGCTCTTCCTGCCACTTTTCCACTAGTGTCTCAGGCTACTGTGGTTTCGCCTCACCTCCCTTTCCAGCGCTGGAGGGGAGAATCTTTCAGCAGCTGGGCTCCTGAGCCATGGGAACCCATGCCCTCCACATAGGTCCACCGTGTCCCTCTAATTCTGGATAGTTTCCTCTGCAGTTTTTTTCCCTCTTTCCTGAGACTACAGTATATCCACTTTTATTAAACTATCCTTTCCTGGACTATCAGTGAACTCCCTTCCTATTCCGCCATCTTGGAGTCCTCCGCCTCTCTCTTTCTCTCCCTCTCTTTCTTCCCCTTTCTCTCTTAAATAAAACTAAATAGTTGAGTTTTATATGTTGTCTGACAGTGA